TCTTATACATTTATACGCTCTGGGAGGTTGAGGTGGAAGGATTGAGAGAGCTCAGGAGTTCGAGACCAGCCTGAGCAAGATCGAGACCCCGTCTCTACTAAAAATAAAAAGAAATTAGCCGGACAGTATATAGGAAAAATTAGCTGGGCATGGTGGCGTGTGCCTGTAGTCCTAGCTACTCGGGAGGCCGAGGCAGGAGGATTGCTTGAGCCCAGGAGTTTGAGGTTGCTGTGAGCTAGGCTGACGCCATGGCACTCTAGCCTGGGCAACAGAGCGAGACTCTGTCTCTGAAAGAAAAAAAAAAAAAAAGAAATACAATTCTTTAGACTTAAAGAATAGGGTGACCCTCAGACCTGTTTGAAAATGCTCTCAACGTGACATTAAAGTATCAAGTAACCATCTTTCCGTTAGTATTAATATAATAGTTTCCTAGTGCTGCTGTAACAAATTACCACAAACTAGGTAGTTTAAAACAACCCACATTTATTCTCTTAACAGTTCTGGAGATCAGAAGTTGGAATTTAGTTTCACTGGGCTGAAATCAACAAGTCAGCAGGGTCATACTCCTTCTGGAGCTCTATGGAAGAATGTTTCCTTGCTTTCTCCAGCTTCTAGAAATGCATTCTTGCATTCCATGGTTTGTGGCGTCTTCCTCCATCTTCAAAGCCAATAGCATAGCATCTTCAAATCTCTCTGCCCCCATTTTCATATCACCTTCTCTTTTATAAGGATCCTTGTAATTACATCAAGCACACTCAATTAATCAAGGGTAATCTTCCCATTCTGGCAGGCACAATTCAGCCAATTGAATTCCCTAGTCATGTAACATATTTAACTGGTTCAGGGAATAGGATCGGAATCCTGTAGGGAGAGAGGTGGTCAATTATTTTTCCTATCACATCCTTGGTTTACAAATTTGAATGGCTTCCTTTATAACTTATTTATACTTTTACTTCAACTTGTTTTTTTCAGCTTTTTTTCTGGGGCATATGCTGCCATCATCTCCCCACTTTCTTAATGGCTAGAGAGGTATTCTAATTATGAATTGTACGAGTATTACTAATTTCCATATAGATAGAACTTAAGTTATCAATTTTACTGTATAAAAGTGAGGCAATTAAATCCTGCACATATTCTTTGCACAATTGTGATATGGTTCTAATAGGAAAAATTCCTAGAGGTTAAAATCTGATCAAATGTATATATTAATTTTGACATAAAATATTAAAATCATAGTTCCAAAATATGTACTCATATTTACCTTATACCAATCAATGGCATGAGAGTGTTATTTATCTTCACACTACTTACATCTAGATTTGGGATTCCATTTTTTGATCTTTCGCATGTTTATAGCATTTGGAGATATCACTAACGGCGTTTCCTGGAACAAAATACAAGCTTAATGTTTGGCAGAATTGAAGTTAAAACAATCCAAATCCATGTGGTACAATTTCAAGAGGCGCGACGTCCTAATCAATGATGCATCAGTACAGATAATGTGGTGGTAATGTGGACTGTGTATTACTAAGTACTATTAGCTGTTACTTTTCATGCATTGGAATATTCTTTTCACATATACGCTTCCATATCTCATACCTGATTTGAGCCCTTGCTACTCTCCCAGTTTCACATGGCATAATGCTTTGTTGCCAAGACTCATAAAATATGATTTCTTCACTATGCCACCCCACCCAGTCTCTAAGGACTTAAAGTGTGTGACTTGCGCTAGCCTCAGGAGGAAAAGCCACGACAGATTATGGGCAATATGCATCCAGCATGAAGATACGTAAGAAGCCCAATAAGCCAAAAGTTTTCAGAGAACAAGGATTCACCTGTGAGTAGGTAACAATTTTGGAGGGTCCAGAGTCAACTGATTTTGTATTAAATAATTTTCTTAACGGAGCCCAGGCATGGTGGCTCACGCCTGTAAGCTAGCAACTCTGGAGGCCAGGCAGGGAAGGATTGTTTGAGGCTCAGGAGTTCAAGACCAGCCTGGGCCAAGATAGAGACCCCTGTCTCCTTAATAAAAAAGAAAGAATTAGCTGGACAACTAAAAGAATCATATGAGAAAAAATTAGCCAGGCAATGGTGGCCCACAATCCCTGTAGTCCCAGCTACTCCTGGAGAGGCTGAGGCAGGAGGATGGCTTTGAGGCCAGGAGTTTGAGGTTGCTGTGGACTAGCTGACTCCCATGGCACTCCTAGCCTGGCAACCCAGAGTGAGGACTCTGCTATCCAAAATATATAATAAATAAAAATTTCTTAAAGGACCAGGACCCCAATGGGCTTAGATGGAACATCCTGGTGAGCACCCTACCCTATGGATGCCTACTCCAACCCCCACCCCTGGGAAGTGGCAATAAACTCCATAATACTAAGGACCATGACCACATGAGGTGCAGGCATGAGGGAGCTTGCTGAAAGAGCACTGAAGGTTGATCTAGGCTCTCAAGGCTATGATAGCTGGGAGGAGATCATTATTCTCTACCATCCACTTCCCTTCGCCTGCTCTACAACTAGGAATCAGCTTCTCAATGGGAGTAAAAGCAATGTTGGTGGTAAGAGGACAGTGCCCACGAGCAATGGCTTCAGCACGCCCTGGAGTGGTTTGTTTCTGCGGAGTCCCCAGAGTTCATTCACAACCTAATGGAATGTCTCCCTCTAGTTTTCTTCCCACAACCACGGTTTGGAAGGTGTGTGTGTGGTTGTGTTTTTTTAAGTAATGAACCTTTTCTTAGCTGACTGTGCTCAGCAACAGTAGAAAGGTAGTTGTGTTTAAGAGAGCATTCCAGAAGGAGACAATGTCCTGAAACTAGAAAGGAAATGGACCTCTCTACCATCCTTCCCCCTACCCACCCCAGTACCAACCTGCAAGTACATGTGAGCACACACTCAGTTTTGTTTTTTTTTTTGGGGGGACAGAGTCTCGCTTTGTTGCCAGCTAGCAGTGAGTGCCCGTCGGCATCAGGCCTAGCCTCACCAGCAACCTCAATATCCTGGGCTCAACGCAATCTTCCTCCGCTCAGCTCCCGAGTCAGCTGGGACTACAGGCATTGCGCCACCAATGCCGGCTAATTTTTTCTATATATACAGTCTGGCCAATGAATTCTTTTCTATTTATAGTAGAGACGGGGTCTCACTCCTGCTCAGGCTGGTTTTGAACTCCTGACCTTAAGCAATCTGCCAGCCTTGGCCTCCCAGAGTGCTAGGATTACAGGCGTGAGCCCACCCGCACCGGCCACACACTCAGTTTTCATCCCTGGCTTTGTAGGACTTGATCTCTCTCTAGAGGTAACTGAGTGGTGCCCCCTGATAAGCAGTGTTTGGGAGAAAGAATGTTTGGTATGAACACAGCCACAACTCAGAAAATACTCCTGAAACTAATAACATATTAAAACAATTCACAAAGGACTATATATAAATTAGCCAGGCATAGGGGACATGCCTATAGTCCCAGCTACTCGACAGGCTGAGGCAGGAGGATCGCCTTGAGCCCAGGAGTTTGAGGTTGCTGTGAGCTAGGCTGGACCCATGGCACTCTAGCCTGGGCAACAGAGCGAGACTCTGTCTCAAAAAAAAAAAAAAAATTGTTTGCAAATGGAAGTGGGTACTTCCCCTGCCCCACTACTATATTCCCCAATTCCTTCTTTTCCTGTATATCTGGAAGATTTCTGTGCAACAGAAAGGCCACCGCCTATATAGGAAGTTCTGTGGATTCATTTGCATAATGTATCACCTTGGGTGAGGGCAGCAGGTTTTTCAGGTCAGACGCTGCTCCACACCCTTTCCCTGAACTACCTGCATTCCCAGGATATTAAGTCAGGAGGCTGGGGAGGATATGTAGAGGGAAAATTATGCCTGGTCCAGTACTGAGGTACGTTTTTCTGCCCTGCGCATCTCCACTCTAGCCCTAATTGGCATGCCTGGCTCAGTGTGTGTGTCTCTCCACGTTTCCACAGCACCTACCCTTTAAGTAGCTGATTCACATGGCTTTTATGGACCCAATTATTGTTCCACACTGCTCCTGCTCTTAATTGAGGGCATGGTGACCACTGGGGAGAAATTCTTGTTTGAATTCTAAAGAGGCAGTGGAGGTCTGATAAGTTATTTCTTTCGCTTTGAATAACACAGTCAGAAGACAGCAGTGTGAACTTTATATGACAACAACCTAAGTCTCTTCAGCGTGAAAAATGGAATGGGGGATTTGGAGTTGAAAAAGGAAGTGTCTGCTACTCCAAAGCAAGCCACTACACTCTCCCCCAAATTAAGTATCCAATCCTTTTATCCCCAAACGGTGGCCAAAGTTGGGAAAACCACACTAGCCATACCAGGAAATAGAATAATTCTGGTTAATACTTCTGCTACTTAGAAGAAGGAGCTCCCCCAACATAATGTCCTGACACTGGATAAAAGGAGGGGAAAGGGCTAAAGATAAATTCTTAGCATGATCTCAAGCGTAAAACTGGATGGGGATGGGAAGCCTTAGGTCAAATTGTTTACAATTCCTTGAAGCATTGTGGTGGCCACAACTCGTACATGCTACTAGGAATTCTTCCCATTTTCCTGGTCTGTGAGGGGCAAGCATTAGTTAGGTAAATGTTGGCATACCCAGGCCAAATAGGCAGTGGCCTTAGTAACCTCAATTCCTTGGTTACCTCAGAGGTATTCAATTGATGTTCCCATCAAAATAGCCAACTGATATGAGATGTAAACATTGAGATACATAAGAAAGGGAGACATGTATTCATCCTCTGGGGGTATAGGAATGAGCAGAGGGTTGATAAAACATATGCTCCGTATTACAAAAGTAAAATCCTGTAGGCAGAAACCAGTACTGATGAAGATTGAATCTGGTCTTCCTCCTCCACCTTCACTCTACCTTGGAGTGTTAGCCACCCATCCCAACCCCAAACAACATGAAGGTGATGTCTCAGTCATTATTACTTTCTCTCTCCTCTAAAAAAAACCAAATCAACAAAATACTCAGGACAGTAGCAAACACAAAGCAGTCTTCATTTCTTCCACACTTCAGAAACATTTTCAATTACAGTTCAGCTTCTCTGAGGTCCACACCAAGTAGTAAAATGCCAAGAGCACGGAAGAGATGGGTTGGAGGGAATCCCTGTTAATGAGGCACTATGTGGGAGGTTTCACTCAGCCATTCCACTTGACAAGCTGGAGGCCCATGCAGGTCCCTGAGAAAAAGAATCTTTGTGGCTTATGCCCTGAAGGAATCCGACTCTGCACTCCCTCCTTACAGCGTGCCTATGAAGGCCACTGAAAAGAGAGGTCCTTACTGAATCCTAACAAGTGCTAATTGGTTTGAGGAGCAGCTCTTTTAATAGTGGGACTTTTCCCTTAGCAGAGTTTCTCATTGGAATTAAAAGACTCCAGCCACACTCACAGTTGCAGGTTCCACATTAGTCAGACTGTTTCCTGGGAGGCATCCAGAGTTTGTAAGTTGTCACATCCTCTGATCAGTCAGGATATGTTCTAGTGGGATTTTGGGTCTTCAGCTGAGCCATGACTCAAGCAAATGGGCAGAGCTGGAAGGTCACAGAGAGCCTAAGGTGCTAAGAGGTACGTTATCCCAACAGACCTTGGTAGGAGGGATGTGAATGGTATTTCTGACCCTTCCAACTATATAGTGGATACCCCGAGTGTCCAAACATAGCAGTAAATCTTTTTTTTTTTTTTTTTAAAAAAACCTGTTTGGGGGTTGCTCTTTCTTCTGACAGGCTTAACAGAAAACTCAAGAAAATGTCCTGATGGGTACTCACTCATGAGCCTCACCCTCTCCTTCAATATAGTTGCTTTTGGCAACCCCCAACCCATCCCTGAATACCCAGAAGGTTGAATCAGACAATGCTTTGCCTTTCTTCAGCCTCAAAGGATGGCTCTGCGTTCTCAACCCTGGTCCGAGGGTGCCGGTGGCAGCAGACACAGTGGAGGTAGTCCACTACATTATGGGTGAAGAGTGAGCGCAACGGATGCAAATACTGGAAGAAAAGGAGCATGAAGCCAATGGAAATCAGATAAGCAATAATGAGCTGCAAAGCAATCAAGGAATGACAATAATTCAGTAACACTTTCACTCCAAAGAACTTAAAAACCAAGACCATAATCACATTCTCTACCAACCTCACACTATAGTGCAGGCCCATATGTCCCCAGTTCTGACCTTTGTCAACAAGGTCTCGGTCCGCCAACCTCAACTGCAAGGCTGACCAGCAGGAGAAGTTGATGCCAGCATAGAGGACGGTGATGGAAATCAGCACCACTAGAGTGCCGACTCGGCTGAAATTCTTCTCGATGTTATTGGGCAACTGGGCACCACTTCTCCAGAACCTAACCCAAGGCTCAAAGAGGATGATCAGGAAGTTGAGCACTATGAAGGGCACAGCCTTCATTTTCAAGGTGGCTGAGAAGAGCACCAGAATCACGAGGCGGGAAGTGATCTCCAATGTCCGCCAGATGGTGATGCAAAGGACTTCTAGTGGCCCGAGGCGAATCTTGTAGTCATCATACTTGATCTGGATAGCCAACATGTTGCAAAGGGTAGCCCCATAGGTGACAGATATCAGGGAAAAGACCATTAGCACAGCTGTAAAGAAAAACAAAACAAAACAAAACAACAAAAAAAACAAGAAACAGAAAAAACAGTCAGTGATGGTGGTGAAGCCTATACTCACACCCAGAGGTCCAGAGAGATGATAGGTGGAACTCGAGAGCCCCAGTACAGAGAAAATGCACATATAATCACAGCTATGTAAACAAATAGCATACACCTGAATAGACATTTTTTCCAAAGAAGACATATAAATGGCCACCAGATATATGAAAAAGTGCTCAACATCACTAGTCATAAGGGAAATGCAAATCAAAACCACAATGAGCTATCACCTCACACCTGTTAGAATGACTCTTAAAAGAAAGACAATTAATAAGTATTGGTGAGAATGTGGAGAAAAAGGAATGCTTGTACATCATCTGTGGGAAAGTAAATTGGTGTAGCCATTATTGAAAACAGCATGGAGGTTCTCCAAAAAATTAAAAACAGATTTTCAGAAAATTAAAATATTAATTAAAATTTCAAAAAAAAATAAATCCAAAAATCTTCTAACTCTTCTATGTTAGCAGTGATCTTGAATAAGGAGAAAAAAATCATTCCACTTCTTTTCAAGAGTGTTTGCAACTCTCCAGCCTGCATTTATTTCTCTTCTATTTCAGACATGAAAATCAATTTAAACCCTAATTTCTCCAGTGAATGGTTTATAATCATCCCATTTTCGTATTTCTTTAATTATGTGATTTTCTCCTCATTTCTCTATAAAGTTACTTCAAGATTAAAAACATGAGAATCAATGTGGCACTTATACATACAACTTAACAAAGATGATGATTAATATTTATTTTGAATTTAGAATGTCATCTCATAATAAAATCTTTACCAGCAAAAAAAAAAGAAAAAAGAAAAATATCACCTACAAGTACTTCCATGCAAATAATACATAAACAAATGCAAAAATAAAGCTCAAGTATGTAATTAAAAAAAAATTAAAAACAGAACTACCATACAATCCAACAATCCCACTTCTGGGTATATTTCATTTCATATCCAAAGGAAATGAAATCAGTATCTCAAAGAAGTATCTGCACTCCCATGTGTATTGTAGCTTTATTCACAATAACCAAGATATAGAAACAACCTAAGTGTCTGTTGACAGATGAAGAAAATGTGGTATATACACATACGTTGGAATATTATTTGGCAATGAAATGAAGGAAATCCTGCCATTTGTGAAAACATAGATGAACCTAGAGGACATTATGCTAAGTGAAATGAAGTAGACACAAAAAGACAAATATTGCAGGCCAGGCGCGGTGGCTCACACCTACAATCCTAGCATTCTGGGAGGCCGAGGCAGGAGGATCACTCAAGGTCAGGAGTTCAAAACCAGCCTGAGCAAGAGTGAGACCTCGTCTCTACTTAAAATAGAAAGAAATTAATTGGACAAATAAAAATATATAGAAAAAATTAGCCGGGCATGGTGGCGCATGCCTGTAGTCCCAGCTACTCGGGAGGCTGACACAGGAGAATCGCTTGAGCCCAGGAGTTTGAGGTTGCTATGAACTAGGCTGATACTATGGCACTCTAACCCGGGTGACAGAATGAGACATTGTGTCAAAAAAAAAAAAAAAAGACAAATATTGCATTATTTCACTTACGTGTGGAATTTTATTTTATTTTATTTTTTTATATGAAACTTATCAGCATGCATACGTGTGGAATTTTTAAAAAGTTGAACTCATAAAAACAGTAGAATGGTGGTTGTCAGGAGTTGGGAGTTGGGGGAAACGGGAGGATTTTGGTCAAAGGGTACAAACTTTCAGTTACAAGATGAATAAGTTTTGTACAT